GACAGGCTGCTCCTCTTTCCTGTCCCTCCCAGGGCCGGGACGCGGAGCACACGCTGCTCCTGCTGCTCCCAGCTTCCCGCTGGAGCTTCCAGGCCGCTCCGGGTGCGCGTGCGGCCGGTTTTCGGCACTGCAGGCGGCTCATGAGAGGCAGGGCCGCGAGGGCAGCGCAGCAGGTGCTCAGGAACCAGCTAGTTTCCCCCTGGAAAAGCCTTTTTTTTTCACCCCCAGCACACAGGCTGCCGGTCTGCACGCTGCTGGGCTTCTTTCCACTCGTCTCCTGCGTCAAAGGATATCAAGGGAGATTGCAGGAAAGTTTGAGACCTGGTCTGAAAGCAGGAGCTGGAGACGGAGAGTTCTCCCACCTGGGAAGCTCAGCCCCAGCTTTCCCCTGGTGCAATTCCTGGAGGTTTGCAAAAGAAAATCGAGGGGTTGCTGTGAAGCAAAACAGCAGGGGAAAATGTCATGTTGTGGGGGAAAAAACAGGCAAGCGCCAGTGTGGAATGTATAAACAGGAGTGCTGTTTGCCAGACGTATGAAATAATTCTCCTCAATCCTGTTAGCGCCTCGGCTAGAATACAGCCCAGCTCCAGGAGCAGCTGGAGGGAGTCCAGGGGAGAGCAGCGCGAGGGAAAAGAGGTGTAGGAAAAACATGACCTGCAAGGCCAGCTCGAAGGAAACGGGCTTGTTTAGTCTAGAGAGCGCTCGGGAGAGGCACCAACTGGGTTTAAATCCTGAAAAGATAGCTGCAAAGGGAAAGGGGCCGGTCGTGCTGGAGGTAACTGCATGATGGAGACCTGGAGCCCCTTTATAAAGCACAAGGATGGTGTGAGAGTGGAGTGGGCTACCCCAGAAGGGTCCATCTGCCTTAGTGGATGTCTGAAATTGTAAATCAAGTTTCATAAACAATGCAAAAAAAATACAGAATTTTCCCCTTGGTTTTGGGGGTTGACTGGGTGATCTCCTAAGATCCCTTCAGGCTCCTCCTCTTTTTCCAAAATGATGCTGTTACCCAAAGGCCACAGAAGTCAGCAAACCTGCAGCTTGGGTGCTTAGTAGGAAAGTGGAATTCTTCTCCCAGGCCTCAGTTTCCTTCGTACAGAGAAGGATCAGACGGGTGAAACTCTGGTACGTACAGTACAAGATGCTAATTAGTTTTTGCAAGAAGCTTTGGGGGATGCCAGGAACAAGGTCACACGAGGATCATTTTGCCTCTAATTCTGTCCTCCCCCTCCTTAAAACTGTTTCCCTGTGAACCTTCTCCGTTTCCACGTTGATACTTGCAGCCCTTGCCCGAGCTCTTTGCTCCTGCTTCGTCTTGCGCACAGGGCCCTGCACGCTATTGCAAAAGCCCAGAGCTCGCGTCCCTACCCCCATCCCAGAGCTCCTGGCATTCGCCGCCTAATTTTACACTGGGGATTTGTTCACCTGCAGGAAAAACAAGGCAAAACGCAAGAGCGGGAGAAACTCCAGCTCCAGATGGCCGCCGAGCTCAGTTTTCCCGGTCCTGCAGCCGCTCTCCGGGACAGAAAAGCTTCAACGTTTCGCCAGAGCGAGTGTGAAGGTCAGGACTGCGCTGACGTGGGACAGTGTCGGTCCAAAGAGGGGAAAAGTCCTAACTGTGCTCGGATCCGAGCACGAGGCCGCGGAGAGGAGCCGAATCCTTCTTCCCTGTGTGGCTTGGAGTGCTGCACGGCTCCCTGCTGCTCTGGGGGAAAGGACTCTTGTTTGGGGACTTGGCCACCTCCAGGACACCTCCTGTGTCCCAGCCTGGTGACCGCGCAGCCTCCTCCGCTCTCGCTGCTGGGGACATGCGGCTGCCACGCGCTCGTGTCCCCCGGCCACGCAGCCCTGGACCCCCTGCCCGTGGCATCGCCCTTCCTGGGCACCCACCGTGGGGCCCACCGGTGTGGGCTGAACCGGCAGCGCCCGCAGCTCTCCCGACGCAGGAGCTTCCCCGGCGGAGGCAGCCAGGGCCAGGGATGCTCCTGGGGCCTCTCTCCCAGCCGGGATCCCTCTCGGAGGGCAGCAGCGGCACTCGCCCTTTCCCAAATAAATATTTCAAGCCCTTCTTCGCAAGGGGAGGCCGGGGTTTTAGGGAATGCTGCTGTGCTTCAAGGAAGCTGCGGGGTGATGGGATGTGTTGGATGAAGGCATTGTTCCCGTGCATCCCAATCCCGTTTGGAGACGCCCACCGGCGTGGGCAGCCTCAGCTTGGGGGCTGCTGGTCGCCTCCGCGTGGAGCTCGGGCGGCCTCCGCGGGAGCCCCCGGGCCAGAATCGCGGCAGGGCCGCGGGCCCGGGGG